CGGCTCTCCGCCCAAGTCAATTACCTGGTACGGGACAGACAGTGCGTTCTTTTCTACTTAAAAAAGCCCAAACATGTAAAAGACATTACCCTAAGCATTGTTTTAAGGAAGAGGCATTACTTGAGCTAATTATAGTATTTGGCTTTCTTGCAAAATTGTATTTAAAGCTATTTTATTAATTTTATCTCAGTCTAGCTATGAACTTGTTTTCTGTCTCCATCCTAAATCTCATTACCCTGATTGATCACTACTGCATAATTAGGGCTTGGGCTGTACCAACTTTATGTTTAGTCTAGTCACCAGTGCCTCTGCTTCCAGCACATGGGCAACTCCTTTCACTATGTAGATAAATAATGTCTCACTATTTGCCCTAGAGCTTGCAGGAAACATACTGATTTACTAAAATGTGTCTAGCAACTTTAACTTCTGCTGACTGATACCAACAACCATCCGCTTCTTAGATCTTGTTAGGAGTTGTTATTCAAACGTAAAACACAAATTCGGAATGTGAAGTAATGCTAGTTATGGCATTGGAAAACAAAGTTTCAGACCATAATCACCATTTATATCTTCTGTTGCAATTTATTATCCAGAATTTAAAATTCTGGGAGTGAAATCTCTTTTTTCAACCAGTGGAATTTTTACACCAACTTTGATGCAAGAAATTTCATCTTAAGTGAAATTTCCAGGTTACCTAGTTCCAGAAGGTCCAAAACAACTGGGGCATTTCGCATGTCAATTACCATTTGTGGAGAGATTACACATTTGTAAATTATGGTCATTAAATCTTGATGGTGATTTCTATAGATCTTAAATCTGAAAGCTGCTCAGGCCCAGCTCAAGCAAAGCATCGCTTCCAGTCTGTGCCTGCAAAAAATGTTTGTAAAGTACAATTAAAAATTTAAAAAAAAAAAAAAAAAAAAAAAAAAGAGATTACCTCCTGGTAAATGAAAGCTTTAGTTCCCGCAGAAAACCAGTTAGTATTTAGATATTTCAGCTTGTCTAAAGTCGCCTTCACATCCTCAGGCCACATATGCTTGGCAGCATCAATTCGAAAGCCTGCTACACCAGTATCAATGAGGTAGTTCATGTACTCAGCAACTTTTGAGCGTACATAGTCCTTCTCCAAGGCCAGATCAAGAAGACTAGACAAGCGGCAGTCTCGGACCTATATAAAGATTCTGAAATGAAACATTTTTCACCTAGTAAATTAATGTAGTGTTCTACATATGTTTTGAATTTTGTTACCTACATTACAATACCAAATCAAACCTTCACTAAACACTGTTCACCATGCATATCTTTGCCTTGGACAGTCATCTACAGAGAAGGAGCATTAAGAAGTCTGCATTCAACCAGCTTACACAGCTGTAAGTGCTGAAGGATTAAAACAGAGAGTCAAACCAGTAAATCTATGATCAGCCTTTTAATGCAAGTATAGGGCAAAAATACGATAAATTATTTTTGCTCCAGTGTATTAAAGAAGAGATTCATTACTATTTCAAGTGCACTCATCTCCCCAGGGAAGTAGGGGATTTCCCAACATTGGACACTTAAGATTCGGCTGGACAGGGTGCTGGGCCATCTTGTCTAGACAGTGCTTTTGTCTAGATGGAGATTTTGCCAAGAGAGGTTGGATCAAATGGTCCTTGAGGTCCCTTCCAATCTAGTATTCTATGGTTCTATGATTTCTTCTCTGATGTAGGAAAGATTTCTAAAAATTATATTTCTAAATCTTTTAAAAGTCTGGATTTATTATAGCTTTACAAAACATTAACCTCTTGGGTTTTGTGCCCTTTTTGACTTTGTTTCCTATAAATACAAAATGATGGGCATTGATTTCATCAAAAGAATACTTTAAGAATACACTGAATATACTGAAATGCCTTTTTTTTTTTTAATACCTCTTACAATGGATTTCCATGGCTATGCACATCTGCTGCACAAGGTCATCAGCCTATGTTGCAAACTGTACTAAAGAATTGGCTACAAAGATGCTCCTTTAGAACTGCTCAAGATTTCAGGGACATTTAAAGTCTCCCCTTCTTCTGCCATTTCTCTAAAACCCTCTCCCCTCAGCTCAGATTCAGGAAAGATCAAACGCGTTTGAAAGGCCTAAGACATTATTCAAGACAGACAGGTATTTATCTTTATAAAATAAAACTACCACAGAATGAAAAATTAAAGTCGGGACCTCATAATCTGATATAGAGGAACAGATAGATGCCCAGGAAGAGAAATCTCTACACAGAAGGTTGAATTTAAAGATCCTAGCGTTATTATTTTTCTTTATGAAATCCTATTCTCTCCTGAAATTGAGACCAAAGAAAACTTCCAAGTTACAGTAAGAGGCAAATAACAACTCTTGCTTTTTTTAAAACATGAAAAACCCCCATTAATAACCCCCCATAATCCCTAATTAGATTTTATGAGCTTCAAACTGTTTTTATAATAACCTAAGCACATTTGTCTAACTCTGAAATTGAGCCATTAGCTTAAGCAGATCTATCCGTTTAAGAAGTGCTGTTCTCGATAGTAACACTAACCTCTATTATCAATTTGGATCGTTTTCCATGAGGGTTTCTGTTTTGTTTTTAAAAAATGTCTGACAGTAAAGGGGAGCAAAGAAATCACAGCCCAGAAACAGATATACATGAAAAATATATTTATAGTTCCAGGTTTACCTGAGATATATCATGATAATTCTCAATGTCTCCACTTCTAGATTTACATTTACCATCATTAAAGTCCCAGCCAGAATATGGCACAGCTGGAAAATCTTCAGTCTTTGCATTGAAATAGCTTCCACAAGTAGCATGGTTGCCAGCACCAGCAGTAGCTCCGCACATGTGGTTGATTACTGCATCCACATAAATATGTACCTACAGAACAGTATTCACATTTTGAGAATGCTCCTTCCCACAGAGCCCATAATTAATCTTCTCTCTCTCTTCTACCTCCCGCCCTATCCCCCTATTTCTGCTTGCTTGCTTCTCCCAACCCTTTATTTAAAATTTAGCTCTTATTAACATATATCAATGGTGATACAACATGCATGTCAACAGACAGGCAGATAACATAGCACCCATTTTTAAAAAGGGTAGAAAGGAGGACCCTGGGAACTACCAACCTGCCAGCCTTACCTCTGTGCCTGGGAAGATCATGGAACAGATCATCCTTGGAAGCTATGCTAAAGCACATGAAGGACAGAGAGGTGATTCAAGACAGCCAGCATGGCTTCACCAAGGGCATGTCTTGTCTGACCAACCTAGTGGCCTTCTATGATGGAGCAACTACATCAGTGGACAAGGGTAGAGCTACTGATGTCATTATCTGGTCTTCTCTAAGGTCTTTTACACGGCCGAGAAGTGGGCCCATGTGAACGTCATGAGGTTCAACAAGGCCAAGTGCAAGGTCCTGCATATGGGTTGGGGCAAACCCCGGTACCAACACAGGCTGGGAGATAAAGGGATTGAGAGCAGCCCTGAGGAGGACTTCAGGGTACTGGTAGATGAAAAGCTGGACATGACCTGGCAACGTGTGCTCACAGCCCAGAAAGCCAACCGTATCCCAGGCTGCATCAAAAGCAGCATGACCAGCAGGTCGAGGGAGGTGATTCTGCCCCTCTGCTCTCATGAGACTCCACCTGGAGTACTCCATCCAACTCAGGAGCCCTGAGCACAGAAAAGACATGGACCTGTTGGAGTGGGTCCAGAGGAGGGCCAGAAAAATAGAGGGCTAGAGCACCTCTCCTATGAGGACAGGCTGAAAGAGCTGGGGTTGTTCAGCCTGAGAAGAGAAGGCTCCAGGGAGACCTTACAGCAGCCTTCCAGTACCTGAAGGGGGTACTGGAAAGACGGGGACAAACTTTTTAGCAGGGCCTGTTGTGATAGGAAGGTAATGGTTTTAAACTAAAAGAGGCTAGATGTGTTGGG